AGTAGGGGCGAAAACATAAAAATACATTCCCTTTTTGTAAAGTGAAACTCTCTTTCCCCACCTTTGATAGCCGGCAACAACCAGAAGATAAGCAAAATGTTAAACCACAGCGCTAAGGAAACCCACCTGCGCTGCTCCTGCCCCATCGGGGGTGTCACCGCACGACTCGTCTTTGCAAACGTCCCCTCTTCCCAGGAGTCCACCATCCTTGGTGGCTACCGGGCTCTCCTCCTGGACAGGCGCATCGACAGCCGGGCCCTTCCTCTTCGCCGTCTTTTTCTTCTGATGCGCACAGTCACCTTTTGTTTTTCTCTGTCGGAAGTGAGCAAGCTGCGCAAAAATGTAGAGAAGTAGTAAAGGCAAAGGTAAGTGAGAAAAAAGTAACAGAACCACAAAGCCAATGAGCTGGTGGGGAACATGAGGCTCTGGGGCTGGCTCAGTGTACTCAGCCAAACCTCACCAGACCCACGTCAACCAACAGATCCCGGTCCCACAAACTCTGCCTTCATTAATATCTGCAATACTAGCATTTAAGTTAGAATTCTATCTGAAGGAACTGCTAATTATGCCTATGTACGGACAAAAGAAAGCAATACGGCCAACTTGCAGAATAGCTTTCCTTGCCCCTGGCAGATCACAGAAAAATTCGATTTAAAAAAAATACATCTATTTAAAAGAATGATAGCTCATTCAAGGCATGCTTAAGGTTTAAAACTACATAAATGCTAAATCTCTTTTTGCTCCCATTTTCCCCCCAATCGAGGAAATATATAGCCTAGCCAAAACTTCCTAGCCATAGATTCTGAGACAAGGTACAGAAATAGCAAAAAATTAATTAAGCCAGGTCAATCTAAGATCCTCCTTTATGGAATCAGATGTTCTATTTTTCACGACACAGCTCACCAATGCACCAGGGACCTCCACAGAATGTCACCCATCAGAAGACACAACCTAGCTCTGTTCAGTCCCTCAAACTGAAGAGTTTTAGACTCTGTTCACACACTGTCTCCCACTAAGATCTTATTCAAAGGTATGAGATCTAATATCAGCTTTTCATGAGACACTGGCTCCTTCAAACGACAACTGTGCTCATAAAAACAAACGCTTTTAAGAAATATCTGTGTAAATGTAACGGAAATGCACACTTTCACAGACACAGAAAAATTACATAAGGCCATTTACATGAGAAAAACTGTCCCCAGGACAGCCTGCCTTCCAAACCAGCCCCATAGTCCCCCTTTTATGCCCACTGCACCAACTCTCCCCAGGTTCCCTCCCACATCACCACCCCCCACTCTGGCCTGGGGTCTCCAACAAGAGGTGCCCTGCTCCTTCCTGCAACGAGGTGGACCTTCCTCATCACCCTAAACACTCCTTAAGCATGTTTACGCACGCTTACAAACCACGGCAAGCTCGGGGAATACACACGTCAAAGACTAAACCCGCTCATTTTCATCTCCTGGCCCACGTACATGCAGGCACACGTAAGGAAGAAAAGAACATGCCACCACTACCCTCTTCAAACCCGTCACAAGCGTCTGCTTCCCAGGAAGCCTGAAGGAGGCCCCTCTGTCCTCTGCCTGTCACCCTGCCATTAGATGCTGCTACGCCAGTCTCCGCGCGTGCGGCATGGCCCCTTTAACGCCCTGGGCCTGGGGTTCCCCCCAAGGCAGAGAGAGCCCTGAGTATCTCCTAAGAGCTGGTCGCTATGAAATTCCCAACGTCTGGCCGCCCCTGAGCTCCGGCACAGGACTTCTCACGGCTCCACCCGCTCACGGGGCGGCACCGCAGACTCTCGCTCACCCCTCGGCACGGCAGAGGAGCAACCTCCCACACACCACGGAATGGGGTGGGGCCAGGAGTCACAGCCAAAGTGCCTGCTTGGTCCACTCTGCCCCTACCGCGGGGCGCTCCCGGGTCGTGGCCCAATCCCCACCGTGTGCCCCCCCGACAGAAAGTGCCAGTGTTGACGTGAGGGCTGGGGCAGGAGCGAGGCGGTAAACGCACCCCTGGGGCCACACGACTCCAGCAGCACAGCGAGCTCCCCGGGGCAACCACAACCTAGGGCCCCCGCAGGCTCCGTCCGGGCGCGGAGCTTCCTCAGGAGGCCCGGCTGGGGGAACGGCTCCAGCAGAGCGCCTCGCCGCGCCCCGAACAGCAGTGCGGCCACGGGAGCTCGCGGGCCCCAGCGAGCCCCAGGCAGGAGGTCGGCCGGAGGTCCTCTGCAGTGCGGGCAGTTCGTGTGTTCCCGGGCCCCACTCCAAAACGCTTTATATTTAGAACCGCCACCGCATTCCGCCAAGTGAAACGACAACGTGCCCGCAGCCTTCAGCGGACGGCAGCGCAGACCAGCCCCGGAGGCCGCTGGGTCGCCGCTCCCGGGAGCCACCCCGGGGTCCCGAGTCCCGGCGGGCGGGGCCGCGAGGACGCGCGGGGGCAGAGCGCCCTTCCCCGCACCGAAGGCGGCCGGGCGCGCAGGGAGCGCC